CGTGCACCCCATCGGCCCCGGCATCTGCTGTTTGATTTATGAATGAATTGCACGCTCCCTCCCTGCGTGCCGCTCTCAGATCCCCTTCCCTGAGCTACAAAACAGATCCAGACACCCGCCTGGCCCTACTGAGCGCCGAGCTCCTGAGAGTTTGCGATGAATTTTTAATAGAAAGCTTCCTCTGAGCCTCTGCTCTCGCTGCTCTGCTGTCGGAACGAGCGGCTCTGCTGCTAAAAGAGCAGCTCAAATGAATTAAAAACTACAGACGAGCCTGGAAGGGAAGTAATCCCAGCGAGGAATGATTTAAAGAGCTGCTGACCTCCCCGCGATGCGAACAGTAGCTTTTGAGTGTTTGTAAAGAGGCCCGTGCAAATCCCGGGTCTGATACTCTATTAACCTCCTCGGGAGCGCGGGGAGGGCGGTGTTGGGATAATCCCCACGTGTCGACATCTCCTGGTTTGCGGAGGACCGGAGCAGCTGGATCCCGCTGTGCTGGAAAAGCAGAATTCAAATGAAAACTCCTTCCTCCTCGGGCACGGTTCCGCGGGTGCCCGGAGCTCTGGGGTGGCTTTGCTCGGCTGGACGCCTCTCGCAGAAGCAGCCACGGGGTTGATTCGCTGGGCTCAGCACCTCGGGAGGTCCCCAGACAATTTTGGGGTTGTGGGGAACCTGGTTTGTCACAGCTCTGTGGTTTGGGTCTCATCTTTGTGCTGCTGCGAGTCAGCAGCTACGTGCAGGGCCCCGCTGTGGGTTTTGGGGTGAGGCTGCACCCCGGCACCCTGAGGGGAGAACAGGGCGGGGGGGAGGCAGAGAGGGGGCAGAGAGAGAGGATTTTGGGCAGGGAGCAGGACGGGGTACCCAGCAGAGCTGGGGCTGCAGGTGGGGGTGACTCGGACGGTGCTTGGAGCAATCCAGGTGTGCGTGCAGCGCCCGCTCCAACAGGTGGCTCCCGGTATAAAAAGGGATCGGGGAAACAAACGTGTGCGCGGCGGGGTGTGACACAGCACCGGATGAATCAGTGAGGGCAGGGAGCACCTCGCTCCTGCAGGCACCCAGCCCCAAATCACCCCAAAGGGCGAGCGGCACCCGCGGGGCTCCCTCTGCCCGTGCGGGGACCCTTTCAGCAGCGGGAGGGGGAAAGAGAAGCACCGGGGCGGGCGGGGCGGGGGTGCCGGGATGTGCGGGGGTGGCAGCATCCCGGGGGTGTCAGCATCCCGTCCATCCCATCCCATCCCATCCCATCTCATCCCGACCATCCCATCCCATCCCGTCCCGCCCCGGCGGAGCCCCGGTGCCGGCCAGCGGCCGCACGGCGGAACTGCAGCCTCGCCCCGTTCACCCCTCCGTGTCCCCCCGGTACCACCGGGAGCGGCACCGGGACGGGCCGTGCCCGGCAAACCCCGGCCCCGCCCGCTGCCCTGCCCCCGCCCCGGGGTTTGTGCGGGTTCCCCCCGCTGGCGAACGGGGAGTGAAAAGTAGAACTGAACCGGCGGCCGTTTTCACCTAAAAAGGGCAGAATTTGAGCACCGGTAGCGGCGGGGGCCGGCCCGACCCGCGGGGCTGGCGGGGCTCGGGGCTGCTCCCGGCGGGCTCGACCGTCCCGGCGGGCCCGGCGCGGATCCCGGTGGTTGCTGCGGTGTAACGGGAGCTGCGGGGCTGAGCCGCCGCTCCTCGGTTAAAATAATAGATGTTCATTGTTGCCGTTGTTGCTTATTTCTGGAGGAGCACCGGGGGTTTCTGGGGCTCGCAGAGCCCGGCCCGGGCTCGCCCCTCGAGGCACCGCTGCTCGCGGGGGAAAATGGTTCAGTACTAAGTGAAGGGAGCCCAGGAAAGGAGGATTTTCTGGTGCTGGGATTTTCTATTCTTTTCTGGTTTGTTTTAAGGAAATTTGCGCTTCACACCCGGCAGCGCGGAGCCGGGACCGCCGCGGCCCGGCCGGCTCCTCTCGGACGGACAGTGCCGGTCTGCAAACACCGTCGGACCGATTCGGGCACCGGGAAACACCCGGGGAGCAGCGCGGGCACAGCATCCTCCTCCTCTCCGCCGGTTCTGCCCCCGTTGTGCCCCCGCCCGCCGCGCGGTTCGGGGCACCCGCGGGGCGCAGGGAGCCGCCGCCTTCGTTGTGTTTGTTCCCGCAGAACCGGCGGCTTCGCCATGAATTTCCTCGCCAACGGATTCCAGCCGGATCCGCCGGCCGTGCCCGCAGCCGCAGCCCCGGGGGAGCTGCCGGGAGCACCGGGGGCTGCGGGCGCCCCGAGACCGCCGGCGATGGGGCGGCTCACAATTTCGAGGAGGGCACAAGGAGGAGGTTTGGGAGCCGCGGTTTTCAGCACAGGCCGAGAGGCGAATCCCCCCCGCCGGGGACACGAGTGCCGGTGGTCCCCGCGGGGGCCGCTGCCGCTGTCTCGCCACGGTCCCGCCACCGCGGGGAGGGCGCGGGCGGCGGCCGCGGGAGCGCTGGGCGGCGTGGGCCGGGCTGTGTCCTCAGCTGCTCCGGACGGCCGCGGCTCCGGCCCCAAACCGGCCCCACCGCGCCCCAAAACCTCCCCGGCGGCGGCGGCGGCGGCGGCGGCGGCCAGAAACCACCGGAGCCCCGACGTGCGCCCGCCGGGGCGTGTCCCGCCGAGACCACGCCCCTTTGCCAAGCCACGCCCACTCGGGCACTAACCACGCCCCCTGGCCCATAACCACGCCCCCCGCCCCGCAGGAGAGCGCTGGTGGGCGGGGCTAGCAGCCGCCGCGCGGCTCCCATTGGCGGAGCGGCCCGTCCGTCACGGCCGCCCCGCCCCGCCGGGGCCGGCAGTAAATACGGTACCGGGAGGCGCGGCGGGGCCGGCAGCGGGGCTTGGGCTCGGCACGGGGAGCCGGCACGGGGAGCCGGCAGCGGGGCTCGGGCTCGGCACGGGGAGCCGGCACGGGGAGCCGGCAGCGGGGCTCGGGCTCGGCACCGGGAGCGCCACCGGGAGCGGCACCGACGCTCGGCACGGAGCGCAGCTCACCCAGCGGCGGCGAGCCCCGGAGCCGCGCGGGACCCGATCCCCCGCGCCGCCGTCCCACCCGCGCCGCCCCGCCGAGGACGGCGCTCCGCCGGCACGGAGCGAGGCAGCGCGGGGCTCGGCCGCCGCCGCCGCCGCCCGCCGAGCCCCGCCGGGTGCCCGCCCGTCCCGCCCGGCTCCCTGCCGCCCGCCGTTGTGATGCGTATTCCCGTAGACCCGAGCACCAGCAGGCGCTTCACTCCCCCGTCCACGGCCTTCCCCTGCGGTAAGATGGGCGAGAACAGCGGGGCGCTGGGGGCCCCCGCGCCCGGCGGCCGCGCTCGGCCCGAGGTGCGCTCGGTCGTGGACGTCCTGGCCGACCACGCCGGCGAGCTGGTGCGCACCGACAGCCCCAACTTCTTGTGCTCCGTGCTGCCGTCGCACTGGAGGTGCAACAAGACGCTGCCCGTCGCCTTCAAGGTGAGTCCCGAGCGGGGACCGAGCCGCCACCCGCTCGCCCTTTCCCCTCCGCCCCTTGCGCTTGAAATCGCTCCCGACATCACCGCCGAGGGAGCCCGGGTTATTATTTTTAATCAAATAGCCCAGTTTATTATTTTGAATCAAGTCTCCGCATTGCCCCGCGGTCACGGCATCTTAGATATTCCGTACAGTTAGGAGCTCTCAGGCAACTTTGAAGTTTAATGAGCTGGAGGTTAATTACCTTCCTGGGAGAGGGGGAGCGAGGCAGGGAAGGGAGATCTAATCTGCAAAAAGTGGAGCGAAGAGCTGAATCCCCGGTGCCGGGCGGCGCTGCCCGGGCTCCCCGGGCACCCCCGGGCTGGGCATCCCCGCTACCCCCGGAGCGGCCCGGGGGAGCCGAAACGGAGCCGGGGAGAAGCGAGGGCAGCCGGGCAGCGCCGTCCCGGGAGCCCGGAGGGCTGAGGGGGGCTCTCAACCGGGTTCCCCCGGCTCCGGGCGCTGCTCCCCGGGAGGGCTGGGGACCCTTCCCCGGTCCCGGCGCTTCCCCGGGCCGGACGCGGAGCTCCGGGGCCTCGCTCGCGGCCGCGCCGCGCTCGGCAGCGCTTTATTTATATTTATTTTCATCCCGAATCCAACAAAATAAACGCACAGACTCCGGCGGCGGGGCCGAGGGTGGCCTGACCCCCCCTTCACCCCCTCCCCGCGGACCCCTCGTCTGCTTTTAACCCTTTCCGAGCCCATTTTCCCCTTCCCTCTCCGACTTGCTCAGCCCCTCGGGGGCTCGGGCTGCTTTTGCTTTTGCTTTGGGGTTTTTATTTGCGCGGCTCTAGCGCAGGTTGGCTTCGGTGAAGGTCGATTTGAGGCTGAAATGCTCTGGCCCTGCCCTAGGTCGTGGCGCTCGGAGATGTCCCCGATGGGACCGTGGTCACGGTGATGGCGGGGAACGACGAGAATTACTCGGCGGAGCTGCGCAACGCCTCTGCCGTGATGAAAAACCAAGTAGCGAGATTTAACGACCTCAGATTTGTTGGGAGAAGCGGCAGGGGTAGGTACCGGCCAGGAAATGGTTGGCCTTTTTATTTGTTTTATTTGTTTTTTTTAAGAGGGG